TTCAGAAAAAAACAATATTTTATATGAATATACATGAGGTGCGACCTTAAAATTGTTGCCCTCATTAATCCCAGCGTGAGACCATAAGGTCTTGGGTTCAAATAATATTGTCAGACAACCCAAAACAAAAAAAAAAGGAGATCCATGTGATGGCTTAACCATGGCCCATGCTGCGGCGGGGTCTATGGGAACTCACATGGAGCAGAGATGTCAACCGTAACAGAAATATGGGATTGGGGATGGACCCACTCCAACAACCGGACATGATTGGTGGAATTAAACGAGGATAGTAAGGACAGAAATATTATAAAAGATATTGTATAATTGAGTGACAATTAAAAATCACGTGAGCTCTGTGCACGAGAAAAGAACACACTCTATTGTATTTGCAGCTAGGCATAATTTTTTTTAATGGTTAGGAATATTTGAATTAATTTATGCATATTTTAATTAATTTTTTTTTCGATCTGATTAAAAATTGATCACTTATGTCGAAATTAAAATACTCATGAGGGATAAATCTCTCATGGTCTGATTTTAAGAAGGTATTAAAATTTAAACTGAAGACGTTATAATTTATAATTCGTCCATATTACCATTACAACTACCCTTTAATGTGCTAGGGCTCTCTTTCTTCTTAATTCCAAGTTGTCTTTCTGGTACATAGCATTCATAGCTTATTTATTACTCTCTCTCTCTACGTTTCATGATCTTAAAAAAGATGGATGAAGGTCATTAATCGAGTTATTTAAATCGAATTCTCATCTCACCATTAATAATAATAATAATTTTCTTTTCATCACATACACATCTTATTTTTTAAGAGTAACAAGATTCGAATATCAAACCTCAGTGCCGGAAGATGAGGTGACATTTGAACTAACACGCAATACTTTATTTGTTATTTCTGATTATATTGTGGGTGTCCATGGGAGCCAATGCAGATGCTAAACTCCAGTATAAGAAACTCATATATACATGATGAGGAATTTACATTGGTTAAACTTTTTTGTTTAAGGTTATAGTTAGCATTGACATAGGGAGTCATAATAATTATTTGAATTTGTGTAATATAAAGACTATAAAGTATTTGGGATACCCTGAACCAGTTCCAAATATGTATGCATTTTACTGTTTGTATATATCAATTGAAGATGACATATGTATCGAAGTCGTGTTGTGTACATCTGACTATATTAAAAAAATATATATATAGGCAAAATTTTATTAGCACGCGTAAAAGATTTCACTTGTTAAACATGTCAATTGCAGATAAGATTATTTTGTTGATTAATCCACCTTATTTTTTTTGCCATAATAGAAGTTAGAAATCACAAGTAAGTAAACTCTATAGTTATATGACCATATGTTTGTTCGTTTTATCAGCTATTTTGTCCTTCTATTTAAAAGAAAGATCAAAGTGGACAGGGAGGCGTGGATGACCCCGTCTATGATCGGATCAGAGAGTTGATTAGTCAAAGTGTACATAAATTGATCCGAACACCCTTAACTGTTGAACCGAAAAAAAAAAAAAAAGATCAAAGCAATGTTGTGGTAGTGGATAAATATCATACCCAAAAATAATCTTTTTTAATTGAGCTATAAACTCGCGTTATACATATAAACAAAAATATTGAGATGGAATAGGAATGAGGAATTGAAATATTTGACTGGGGCTTGGAGATAAATATCGAAATAGCTTACTACGTGTAGCATTAAATCTTAAGACCATTTATTTTAAACAAAAATAATAAAATTATATTTTTTTGATTAAAATATTTCAAAACGTCTTTTAAGCGACGAAGAAGCACGACATACCCTGTCTTGTATTCGAGTCAAGTTGGTCGAGCTCAAATATCCTTCTTAGAAAGAAATGTTACGTTATATGTATATTCATCTTTGTGAATCTCCGTCTATGTTCCGATTCTCCTTACTTTCGGTAAGGAAATCAAGATGAACTGAGTTTGACAAAACAACACAGAAGAGAATCAGCAAGATAAGGATTATATGCTCTCCAGAACAAGTACAAGTTTGAATATTATGTAATCCCACTGGCAAGATTTAACGGTGGATGTATGTTGTTAAAAATCCAATTTTTAATTAGAAGAAAAACTTTTTATTATTATGCACAAATCGATCTAATACAAGATCAACAGTCGAGTGTATGATAATGTGTAATTAATGGACAATAAATAAAACAATCAATGACAGTAATGTAAATATTAAGTTAACACGCAGATATATAGTAATTCGATCTGGATAACCTACTTCACTCTTGAAAAACGGTAGCGGTGGCGGGAGGTCTTTATTGATGAATAAAATAAGAGAGAGAAAGCTCCGGGAGATAGATGCTCTGGGAGAGGTATAATAGTTAGGAGAGAGAAGCAATGTGTGTATAGAGAGGTGTGATGAGATCCCCTGAAGTGTCCTTTCATGTAGAGAAAACTTACAATTTATAGGCATAGAGCTTTGGTTGAGGGGGTATCGTGAGGGTAAAGACACTAGTGATTCAGAGAGAATAACTACAAAAGGTAAATTCAATTAAAGGTTNAAAATAATCTTTTTTAATTGAGCTATAAACTCGCGTTATACATATAAACAAAAATATTGAGATGGAATAGGAATGAGGAATTGAAATATTTGACTGGGGCTTGGAGATAAATATCGAAATAGCTTACTACGTGTAGCATTAAATCTTAAGACCATTTATTTTAAACAAAAATAATAAAATTATATTTTTTTGATTAAAATATTTCAAAACGTCTTTTAAGCGACGAAGAAGCACGACATACCCTGTCTTGTATTCGAGTCAAGTTGGTCGAGCTCAAATATCCTTCTTAGAAAGAAATGTTACGTTATATGTATATTCATCTTTGTGAATCTCCGTCTATGTTCCGATTCTCCTTACTTTCGGTAAGGAAATCAAGATGAACTGAGTTTGACAAAACAACACAGAAGAGAATCAGCAAGATAAGGATTATATGCTCTCCAGAACAAGTACAAGTTTGAATATTATGTAATCCCACTGGCAAGATTTAACGGTGGATGTATGTTGTTAAAAATCCAATTTTTAATTAGAAGAAAAACTTTTTATTATTATGCACAAATCGATCTAATACAAGATCAACAGTCGAGTGTATGATAATGTGTAATTAATGGACAATAAATAAAACAATCAATGACAGTAATGTAAATATTAAGTTAACACGCAGATATATAGTAATTCGATCTGGATAACCTACTTCACTCTTGAAAAACGGTAGCGGTGGCGGGAGGTCTTTATTGATGAATAAAATAAGAGAGAGAAAGCTCCGGGAGATAGATGCTCTGGGAGAGGTATAATAGTTAGGAGAGAGAAGCAATGTGTGTATAGAGAGGTGTGATGAGATCCCCTGAAGTGTCCTTTCATGTAGAGAAAACTTACAATTTATAGGCATAGAGCTTTGGTTGAGGGGGTATCGTGAGGGTAAAGACACTAGTGATTCAGAGAGAATAACTACAAAAGGTAAATTCAATTAAAGGTTATTACGATCTTCGAGGGTGTCTATCCTGACAATCTCTCTCCACGTGCTCTTATCTTCTCGGACTCTTTGAATTTTGGACTGGATCGAATTGATAAAATGGACTTGGGTTATTTTTTAGCTGATTTGAACTTACTTGATTTATTGGGTTCAAACCCAATTAAATTTGGGCTCATCTTCAATTATTATTATTTATTATCCAGGTAGAAAAGAAGCCTAATCCAACGGATGCAAATGCATATATAATTTTAGTCATAGAACACCAAGTATTAAAAAAGGCCAAAAAAATGACATCCTTTTAGTAGTGTCCATATGTGATGAACAAACAACCTAATATGATTGGTTCAATGGTGGAACAAGTTGTCAGGAATAAATTCGAATCTTGTATTTGGTAGCTTAACTGAGTTAAGTGGATTATACAAAAAGCCCCTCTCGATTCTCCAATGGAGAAAAAGGCAAAAAAAAATAAAAAATGACACTTTTTAGTGGTGTCCATTTGTGATGAGCAACGCCCTAATATGATTGCTTCAATAATCGAATAAGTTGTGAGGAATAAATTCGTATATTATATTTGGTGGCTTAATTGAGTTGAGTGGATTATGCTAAAAACACCTCCCGACTCCCCATTTCTCACATGTTGTTATAGATATAATTTATCATAAATGTTGATATCTTCATTGTTTGCCCCATGAGTTTGAGTATTTTAAATAATTCACAATTTAGATTTAGCAGATTTGAGTTAAAAATAATTGCATAATTGAAAGATTTACGTTATATATCTAAGTCTATGTATATATCTACGTCTAGTTAGTAAAAAAAAGAAGTGTTTCTTAATATAAGATGAGCAACAATCTAATATAGGGTGAGCAACAATCCATCTGATTGCCGATATGGTTAATTCGGTTGTTGGATCATCCGTGAGGAATAAATCTAAATATCTTAACCGTTACGTAAATTTAAAATTTGTGTTAGCATGTTTAATTCTAGGTAATAGATAGTGGGGCGGTTTCTCGTCTGAGTTAAGCAACATGCAATAAATGGGATTGGTGGGGGGCATCAAGCCTTTCTCATTCATGATTTAGTTATTGGTCAAACGAAGAGATAAGGGTCCTAATCTCTCTTCTACAATTTGGTAGGAGGGTTTTTGATTCTTCTCACTCTTTTTCTGTCCTCTTTATTGGAGATATATACACCCATCTCTCTCTCTCTTCCCCTCAAAAGTGAGTACTTGAGTGCCTAAAAACACAATTGTCACAAATAGAAACTTAAATTATTCTGGGTATTACTCCAAAGCGTTTCAAACGATTGAAGTCATTTTCTAAACGGTCCAGTGTCCAGACCATTCTATTCAAAGTTTGGACCCTTTCTCTACAGCTCTATAAATCCTTCTTCCATTGATCAGTCCTCTTTCGTGATCTCACTCTTCTCAATTCCAGAGATCTCCCACTTAACCCAAGTTGCAATAAAAAGAACAGAAGAATGGTGGGTTCCCTCTCTCCTTTTCTCTCTACATATATATTATGTTGTCTACTCTCTCTCTCTCTCTCTCTCCTGAATCAAAAAGGGTCTGTTTTGTTGCAGGAAGTAGAAAACCAGCTGAACACATGGGAGGGGTATGTGGATTGGAGGAACAAACCAGCACTGAGAGGCCGCCATGGTGGCATGTTGGCTGCATCTTTTGTCTTGGGTAATAACAAACACCCACCTCTTGTTTTATATATGATATGATCTCTGTATCCATACAAGTTCATATTCCACATTCCTTTGATAAATTATATTCTGGGTTTTGTGATAATTTGCTCTTACAAGTAAAAACCCGAACAATTTGAAGATTTTGATCATATGATCAGGCCAAAATAGACATTATTGTTGTATAATTTTGGGGATTTTTTTTTTTGTTGGATGTAGTTGTGGAGATATTGGAGAACTTGGCATTTCTAGCAAATGCAAGCAACTTGGTGTTGTACCTGTCGGAGTACATGCACTTCTCACTATCAAAATCTGCCAATTCTGTGACTAATTTTATGGGCACTGCCTTCCTCCTTGCCCTCCTTGGTGGCTTCTTATCAGATGCTTTCTTCACCACGTATCTCATCTACCTGATAAGTGCTGTTATTGAATTCCTGGTAAGTCACACCTCTCTCTCTCTCTCCGTTTTTGTTTCAACTTGTATGTCTTAAACAAGTTAATTTTTACTTATTTGACTAAATAATTTTGTTCCTTCTAGTGGGTTTTGCTCAATCTTTTCCTTTTGTCTTTTTTTTTTTAATTAAATTTTTACTATTTTCTATGTCAAAAAATCTCTGATATTTTTCAAAACTGTAGTGCACGTGGTTCGTAGCTCCCAATCGGATAAAAATAGGTATTAGTGCCATCACACCAAGTTTGGAGGAAAGTGCCTCACACACTTACATGCATAGATAAAGGGTAGGTTTTGTGCAGGGATAAGGTTGCATAAATAATTTCTCTTTGTATGTTGGTAAGAACTCTAAATTGCATAAACCTTGTGCCCTTGATTCGTATAAATAATTTCTCTTTGTATGTTGATAAGAACTCTAAATTGCATAAACCCAGTTCGTTGAGCCCGCCCTTTTTATATATTTATATAGTGGAAACACATATAAATTTCAACCATGTATAATAGCATACTGAACATGGCCTTTTTTTTCCACAGAGCATCTGAACATAGTAGCTTAAGCACCACTAGGCCACTTGGGTATCCAGCTAGCAACTTGATGCACCCCATTTGCAGCAAATTATGATTCACACGAGAACTAGCAGTTTCTTTTTCATATATATATTAGAAGAGAAAACTTATGGTATCATAGCAAAACTCATCACGGGTTAGCAATCAAAAAATCATCTAATGTGTCCAGTGCACTTAGTTTAGATACATGGTCCCCTACAGGGTCCCACACTTGCAACACATGCAATGTCTAGAGTGAGAATAGAGTGTTTGGGGACCCCATGTTTCATGAATCATGCTTGGACAAGAGCATCCCTCATTTTCTCAATTTTCTCTTGGATAGTGATATATCATTTTTGTTTTTATGCATTAATGTTTTTGTCTCTGGTATATGTCAACCAATGAGGTTATGGCTCGTATAAGGGCCATCCATTTCGAGTGAACAATCGGGTTTCAACCTCATCCTTTTTATCCTTCTCTTGGACACATTATATTACCATTTATCTATACATAAATAAATCGACCTATAGTGTGGTAATTTTAGGCACAACTCATGAATTCAATAAGGAAGCATCACAAAATTAACAGGTTTGTGTTGAGTATTAGTGAGTTCAGGTTGAACCTTAACGGATTCGGAGGTAAACAAGTGGACTCGTTAGATCGCCATATAATGAGCAACACGAAACCAATTGAACTCGAGACGAACTCGCTAAAACACGACTTATACATAACATGAACCTAATAAAACATGAACCCGACGATACAGGAATATATATAAGTTGCATATGAATTGAATAAATATTAACACGACACAATGTAGACAGACACAAACCCAACATTACACAACCCATTGAAAACTCTAAATTCACCACCATGCCAGGTTTTGAGATGGGCCACCTTGCTAGATTTTATTAAGGGACAACACTGGTGGGTCAACTTCAAAGATAGGTGGTTGGATATATTCCATATACAACTATGAACCAGGTGGAGGTTTGTGGTTACTTTGCTGTTGGCCTTATATTAAAGTCCCAGTAGATGAGGCCACATAACAACATTCTACGCTTATAAAGCAACATCAATATGATAAGTAGATACAACACATATGACGTACCCTGTCTGTCCAATAGGGTCCAGCAGTTAGGACCCAAGGTGCCTATCTACCTGTGGCAAGGGGCATGGGTACAAATTTCTAGTTGACAGTTGTTTCAAATGATGTTTCATTGGATTTGGTCACACTTCAAGTTCAAAGAAAAAAAAAAGATTTGGTCACAGTGAATTCGGATCCTATGAAGTGGGACCGAACTTTGGAAGTGAAGGTTGGTCCACCATAGTTGCATGATGATAGTCGAGTGTTCAAAATTTGACCACCTCACTCACCCTTAAATGAACACCTCAGTGTTCATGTGAGAGATGGTTGATTGCTGATTGCTCGATTCTCATTGAGCAGCTAGTCGACTATGGGAGGTCAAACTTCACATTCTGATGAAATTCAGAGGATCCGATTGAACATAGTGTTTTAGGCACCTCTGGTCCACTTGGGTGTCTAACTAGCAACTTGATGCACCTTGTTTGTAGCAATTTATGATTCACACGAGAACTAGTCGTTTATTTTTCTTACATAGAAAACATGTAACATATTTATACATATGTATATCCAAATTTATATTCTCTTACCAAAAATTTATTTTCATTTTACATCATTAAATTCTGAAAAAAGGATAAAAATTATGGTGTTATGGAGAAAATTTGAGTTATTGTACAAAAAGTCATCTCGGGTTACCAGTCAAAGAAATCATCGCATTTGTCCATTACATCCACATGCAGCTTATCTAGTTACAATGGGAGAGTGCTAAGGGCCCCATGTTTTGTGTATCATGCTCAGACAAGAGCAGCCTTCATTTTCTCAATTTCTGTTGAAAAAGAGACATATCTGTTTTGTTTTTGTGGATTAATATTTGTATCTCTGGTGCATGTCAACCAATGAGGCTGAGGCTCATCTCCAACGTCCATTTCAAGTGGATAACCGGGGTTTGAGTCACATTCTCTCTATTTTCTCCCATCTGCAATTACATTCTTTTACTTATCACAGTCCTAGGGTCGCACCCTTGTTAAAGTCCTTGTCAGTATTGCAATTGAGGTTTACCAATTGCAACACAATTGGTGTTGATGGTGGGACATCCTACAAGTTGATTTCTGTATTTACTATAATTTCTATACATAGATTTCCTATATTTGGCTGAGGATATGTGGTTAAGTATGGTCAATTTGCTTTTTACCGTTTATTAACTTCCACCTTGTGAGGCCACATGAGAACATTACACACTCATGAGGCACCGTCACTATTGTATAGTGACATTTCATGGTTGGTAGTTAATTAATTCAAATGTGAAGTACCTGTCTGTCCCAATAGGGTCTAAAAGTTAGGATCCAAGATGGACATGTGGCAAGGGAGATGGGTACAAATGTTTACTGGACCACTTGTTCCAAATGATCATCCATTTGACTCGGTCCCACTGGATCTGGATCTCTGAAGATGCATCGAACTTTAGAGGCGAAATTTTTGTCAAAACTACAGCCTCGAGGAGAATATAGTGCGGTAATAATTGAATCTTAATTGCTTAATGGTCATTGTACAACTTTGGTGAATCTAACTTCACAAACTGATAAAATTCAGATACTTTGAACATGATCCCAAAAAGGAAAGGTCCGTAAATTTCAATTCATCAAAAGTTTGGGAAAATCTTATTGGAATCTTCACATCTCTTTCTTAAATATCCTATGAAACTATTTAATGCTCATTTACCAGATACCTTATGTGTTTTGATTATTGGACAGGGTTTGGTCATACTCACAGTGCAAGCTCGCTCGTCCTCTCTGAAGCCACCAAAATGTGACCCTGCTACCCCTAACATTCCATGCCAAGAAGTACATGGTGGAAAAGCTGCAATGTTGTTCTTAGGCCTCTATCTTGTGGCTCTAGGCATTGGAGGGATAAAGGGATCGCTGCCAGCACACGGGGCTGAACAATTTGATGAGAGCAGTCCAAAGGGAAGGAAACAAAGATCAACTTTTTTCAACTATTTTGTGTTTTGCCTCTCGTGTGGCGGTCTTATAGCTGTGACCTTAGTCGTGTGGATTGAAGACAACAAGGGGTGGCAGTGGGGGTTCTTGGTTTCCACATTGGCAATAGTGTTATCCATCCCAATCTTCCTCGCTGGTTCACCTTTTTACAGGAATAAAATAGCTTCTGGAAGTCCACTTACAACCATATCTAAGGTGAGAGTTGGACGAATATCTGCATGGAGTACTTAAATAATTCTGTTAGATGTAACATGTTCTTCCAGTTAGTATTTTTTGCTGAAATTTCCCAATATTTTTAAACCTGATTTATAGATGATTTATGACCTTGTAGTCCTTGGATTCTTGCATGAATCTGTTTGTTGCAATGTGCTTAGTCTTCATCCATTTCAAGTAGCTGAAAAACATGATTTCTTGGACAGGTGCTTATTGCTGCCGCCATAAATACTTGTAGACCAAGAAGTTCAAGCAATGCCATTGCAAGTATGACCACAAGCCCTTCTCCTCCAACCCCAATCTCCAAGGAAGAAGAATCATCAAATGCCAAAGCTATGGAGTCCATTGAAAAGCCCACAGAAAGTCTCAAGTTCCTCAACAGAGCAGTGGTGGACAAGCCACCCCATGGAGCACTACAATGTTCAGTACAGCAAGTAGAAGAAGTCAAGATAGTTATAAAAATCCTTCCCATTTTTGCTTGCACAATCATGCTCAACTGCTGTTTAGCTCAACTGTCCACATTTTCAGTCCAACAAGCTGCAACCATGGACACAAAGCTTGGTTCCTTAAAAGTTCCGCCAGCTTCTCTTCCCATTTTCCCTATACTGTTCATCATGATCCTAGCACCGGTCTACGACCATTTAATCATCCCCTTTGCTCGCAGAGTGACCAAATCCGAGATGGGCATCAGTCATCTACAACGCATTGGGATCGGTCTAGTCCTCTCCATTGTTGCCATGGCAATAGCAGCTCTCGTTGAAATTAAACGCAAGAGAGTAGCTTCTGACTCGGGGCTACTTGACTCTCTCAATCCATTGCCCATTACATTTTTCTGGATAGCTTTTCAGTATTTGTTTCTCGGGTCAGCTGATCTTTTTACCTTGGCCGGATTGTTGGAATTTTTCTTCACTGAGGCACCCATTAGCATGAGATCTTTGGCTACTGCTCTCTCCTGGGCCTCCTTGGCCATTGGGTATTATCTCAGCTCAGTTATTGTATCGATAGTGAACAGTGTCACAGGCAACTCCAAGCACAGACCATGGCTCTCTGGCAACAATTTAAACCACTATCACCTCGAGCGATTCTATTGGCTAATGTGTGTGCTCAGTGGATTGAATTTCCTTCACTATCTCTTCTGGGCTACCCGATACAAATATAGATCAACAAGGTTCAACAATTAACCAACACAATTGAAACCTATATATGTGAATTGGATTGCCAGTTGATACCATCTTGAGTGGATATTTCAGGCAGCTCTTTCAGATGTATATATGTCCGATGATTTGCTGCATCATTGGTCATTAACTTGCTTCAAGAAGAGGAGATGGCAGATGTTTGGACGATCAAATCACTCCCTCTTCACATTTCGGGTCAACTGTTTCTTTTGTAAACATCAGTGTTCTTCAACCCTATCGGTATCAATTGGATTTTTGTTGTTGGATATTCAAGCTAGTCAACATGTTTGTGTATGTTAAACAACTTTTTGTTGTTTGTATATGACCTTAGTTTTCATCAAAAGCAACAATGCAAAAGACACTCATATCCATTCATTCTGACCAGTTTTTTTAAGGGAGGTTGATTTTACATATAGAATCAATTGTCCCACACACACGCACCCAAAAAAATGGTGGTGGAGAAATGTGGTGTGGGATAAGAGAGAAGGGAAAGATTTACATAGAGATGAAGAAATAGTGATCGAGAAATACGTATGATTATTAGACCATTTAATAAGATCACAATAAAAGGCAAGGGACAAATGTGGGAGTACAATATGGCAAAGGAAGAGTATCTTTGACCGAGTCATGAATGACTTAATTGAATAGATTCTGACTCTAACAAAACATAATTGAAATCTCCTTTATAAAATAGCTTGGTTTGTATAGCAATTGAGCAGCCATAAGAGTCCGAGCAAACATAAGAAAGAATCAATATCCGAATAAAACTCTGATTCCCCAAATTAAGATATAAGGATTATGTCCGCCTGAACAAAAGTTAATTAGACTATTGGGAAAAATCAGAGGTGGTTGTGAGCAACCAACTAAGAAATTGTCTATTTTAGAGGTGTACATTATAAACATGACTTAAAAAATTGACCAATCGAAAAAGAAACTAAAATAGCACCAATACGAATTTGGAAAACCAAACTAAAAGATAGGTGTACCATTTCTAAGAGGGATAATTGACTTGTTTAACTTCAGATCTTTTATTGACTTAAACATCGGAGTGTCTTTGATCGGTCAAACTCTAGTGTGTGACAGTTTGTTCTTTTTATAGGAGGTGCACCTTATTCCCGGACCAAATTACCGAGTTTCCACATTGTCATCATCAACTAAAGGTGTGAAATTTATCTATTGTATGATTAGTCTTTGACAAATAAATGGTAGGAACATTTCAGTTTATTGCGTCCAATTCAAATATACATTTGTTTTACTAAGTTAGGGGCAGTAGGCCACCAACTTAGTGAAAAGATCTAGACAGCAGAAAGCAATTTCAAATAACAGAAGTCAACTGCATTGCACATTCTGTTTTGAAAGATTTTTCGTCCAACACTGTCTGCCCCCTGATGGTCACACAGATGTCTGGTGCTCCTCCTGGGACGTTCCCTCTTGTGCAGACCAGGGCTATAGTGGAGGAGAGAACAAAATTCGGTTGTTTGCTCCTTACAACCGTGATTTTGCTTGCGATTGCACAGAATTAGTCCGCGTTCAGTTACGAAATCTTTCTCAGGAATTCTCATGCCAACATGGAAGTTTTTGATTTTCCTCTTCTCAATGAGACAACCAAATCCGAACAGAACAATCTCTACTCATTCGTGTACCTCTTGCCGGATGGTATGGACAAAGAGGTTACCATTCGGAAGAGGTGCACGAATGAGTAGAAATTGTTCTCTTTGGATTTGATTGTCTCGTTAAAAAAAAAAAAAGGGAAAATCAAAAACTTCTTGGCTTGAGAATTCATAGGAAAGAATTTGTAACTGAACGGAACTAATTCTGTCCAATTGCAAGCAGAATCACGGTTGCAAGGAACAAAAAACCGAATTTTGTTCTCTCCTCCACGATAGTCCCGGGTCTGCATGAGGGTTCCTTCTCGGTCAACCGCCCCGGACGAGAGCCAGACATCTGTTTGGCCCATCTGGGTGTGGACACTGTTGGACGGAATATCGTACGGAACAGAATGGGCATTGCAGTCCGAACGCAGAACATCATTCGACCGACATTTGCTTGATGGCAAAAATATGTTAGATGCTCCGAAGTCGATTCTGTCGAACATGATAACAGAGTTATCTCTGAGCAGCTGCATGTACATTGCAGAGGTGTCAACGTTGTCGGTATTTCAATAGTCACCGACGATATTTGGTAAGGTAGTCAGGGGTGAAAAATGATTTCAGATTTTATGAAGGAGATGGGGTTTGACTCTTATGCAACCGTTAAAATTTACGATTTTGCCAAATCACTCGTTTTTTTCTTTGGCCAAACGAGAACTCTTTCCTGATTCGTCTCCCTCACTGCGACGAAAGTCATTGGTTCTCATCAAACCTGACGATTATTCGACCAGGATGCTGTAATTGGTATGGAAGTTTTCGCTCAAATCAGCCAAAATCACAAAGCCCTAACATCAAGAATCGGTGTGTACCGTCAAACTTTATAGTGCTACCAAAGAGAGAGAGGTCTATGTCAATGGGAAGAAGGAAAATCCATAAGATATTTATAAACAACTGATGATAATGAATTGAACTGGATTCAAGTAGTGTAGAGATGAACGTTTTTTGAAATGAAAAATAAGTTATCATCCATGACACGTACACTAGTTACAAAATTAAGATGTGAGTTGCTAGGGCTACACCAAGGATTAGCAATATTATTTGTACATAATTTATTGACTTAATCACTCACAACTATTACAATAACAGTGGGTCCTAATATTCATTGAAACTCATTATTAATTCAACTATTGTGATGGATTATGTCAACAAATTAAGTCTCAATATTATTATGGCATATTATAAAAATAGAGTGTTGTATATTGATTATGGTTAATACCTAACCCTCGTACCATACTCTGGCAACCATTTATTTTGATCGGTTCTTATCAGATGTGTCACAACACATGACAGACATGATGTGGTTTTATTGTTACATATTTAATGCACCCAAGCTCTCAAAGAAAAAGATTATATTGAATTGATGGGAAATCGATGATTAATTTTTGATTTGTTAAGTGTGCGTGTGATAACTATTCTTCTTATATTCAGAAAAAGCATACATTTTAGTCTTTTTAAAGATTTTTATCTATTTTAGAGGGACAATTCTTTAAGAGTTATATCATATTGCTTTTTTTTGAATGTGGGTTGAATAGGGTTTGGCATTGAAAGGCCAAAAAGGAGAGAAGACAAGGAAAAATAGGTTGCATAAGGAAAAATGAAAGTTGTTTGACAAGTCTCTCTTGGTTCTGTGAATTTCTTTTCAATAATGGCACTGCTACTTTGTGACATGTGATGCGTTCTTACTTATTATAGTAGATACTTGAAGGACTAGTATAGGTTGAAATGTGGTCCAATTTTTCACAGAGATAAAGAAACTAAAGTCTCTCTCTGTATGCGTATGTGTGTGAGTGAAATAAAAGCAAACATTTTCTTGGTTCTTAGAATTTCTTTTAAGAAGGGAACTACTGCTATAGGCATGTGACTAGTGTTTATTGACAGAAGTCATAAGCATGCATAAAATAGATTACCGGTGGATGATAAACAGAAACATTCAGATACCAGGTGTATGAAAGACTCACTTAATTTCCTATATCAATGGAAGCAACCTTTTCAATCTTTTGACGAGGAAGACGAGAACCAGTGAATTTCGTCGCAGCAAGAGAGACGAATCAGTAAAGAGTTCTCGGTTGACAGAAGAAGAAGACGAGTGCTCTGGCGAAATCATGAATCTTAACAGTTACACAGGAGCCAACCCCCTCATCTCCTCCCAAAAATCTGAAACCATTTTTCACCCCAGACTTCACAACCAAATATTAGTCCTGGTTGGTTAGGACTAGAATCTATTCAGTTAATTCATTGTGACTCGGTCAATTGTACTATTCCTTTGTCATATTGTACTCACACTTTTCACTTTCCTTTTATTGTGTCCGTATTAAATAGTCTAATTATATTTATTTCTTAATCACTATTTCTTTATCTCAATCACTAAATCTTTTCCCAAACTCCTAACGTAATTTTGATATAATTAAAGGCCGATTTACTAAATTTTCATGAAATATACTTTTGAAACCTTTGAAGTCTACTTGTTAATCCCACAAAGATCAAGTAAATTGGACATTGAAGTAAAACGTTATGATCCAAATAACGAAGTAGTGTCAAAAAATTTCCTTCACGAGTTCTTATGAATGCGTGTTTATACTTTGGAATATCCCAACTTCTTTTCCTCACAAATCATCCCTTAATTTAACTAAATTATTTATCCATTATTTGAGTTTATTATCGTCATAATTTATTTGAATTATCTATAAAATGAGACAAATAACTAGAATAAGTATCAAGTTAAAAAAATTCAAAAATATAACACATAATCTTAAAGAATATATTTAATTAACTCGTCTGTAAATATAATAAAATAGCACATTTGGACCGTTCGGAAGCAGTACTTTATGTTGTCTTGTTTACTTGTTACCCCTGGACACGCATTTTCAACTATCTGGACACGAATAAGTTTTTGTCTAAAGTTTAAATGCAATTTTGACAAAGTTAAAGGTTGATTAATAAAATTTTCAAGTAATAACTTTTTGAAGCCTTGAAGTCTACTTTCCAATACTGCAAAGATTGAGTAAAGCAAATATCTATGTAAAAAGTTATGATCAAAATACCGAAGTAGTATCAAAATCTTTCATTCCCAAGTTTTCACTAATGCGTGTTTACGTTTCGGAATGTCTCTTAACTTCTTTTCTTCATAAATCATTAACTATTCTGATCAAATCCTTTTCTCCATTATTTGCTCAACTTGAATCACTTTGTTATCATCATATATAATTCAAGGTATTATAAAAAATGGCTAATCATAGCTCTCTCAAATCTGTTTGGCAAATGAAGAAAATCTCACTGTTGAACCCTTACTTATTTAACAAAAAAATAACTTATCCAAAAAAAATTTCAACGAATATTAGCACCCACTGTTAATCTAACGGTTGTGAGTGATTAAGTCAATAAATTATATCTGAATAACATTGTTTGTCTTTTTTGTAGCCCTACCTACTCCCTTCTCAATTTTATAACTACTGTGCTTTTTCAAATATTTCATGGAGAATAACTTATTTTTCATTTTAGAAAACGTCAATCTCTACCATACTTGAATCTAGTTTAATTCATTTTCATTAGTTGTTTATAAATATCTTAGGGAATTTCTTTCTTCCCTTTGACATTAACCCCTCACTCTCTTGTAGGACTGTAAAATTTAACGATAGATGCTAATTCTTGATATTAGGGCTTTGTAAATTTGGCTGATTTAAGGGAAAACTATCATACCAATTGCAGACAACATCGTGATTGAATATTCGTCAGGTTTGACGAGTAAGACAAGAAGCAGCGAATTTCGTCACAATGAGGGAGACAAATCAGTAAAGAGTTCTAGTTTGGTCAGAGAAAAAGACGAGTGGTTTGAAAAAATCGTAAATTTTAACGGTTACAGAGGATCCAAACCCCCATCTCCTCCACAAAATTTGAAACCATTTTCACTCCTAGACTGTCAATATTAATTTTTGTTAGTTAGGGCCAAAATCTATTCAGTTAATTCATTAACGACTCATACTCTTCATTTGTCATGTTGTACTCTCTCATTTAACACTTGCTTTTTATTGTGTCTCTATTAAATTGTCTAATTATACATATTTCACAATCACTATTTCTTTATCTCAATCACTAAAACTTTGCCCAAACTTCCAAGATAATTTGATATAATTGAAGGCTAATTTATTAGATTTTCATGATATATACTTTTGAAACCTTTGAAGTCTACTTTCTAATCCCGCAAAAAATAGGTAAATTGGACATCAAAGTAAAAAGTTAGGATCAAAATAACAAAGTAATGTCAAAATTTTTCTTTCCCAAGTTCTCACCAACATGTGTTTATGCTTCGAAACATCTCTCAACTTTTTTTTATCAAATCTTTTTTTTTTTTTGCTGGTGTAAATTGAGATACATGGATAAGAAAGACTCCTATAACTAACTATATTGTAATAATAGGAAAAGGAGATAGGCATGCCCTTTCTTGTTCCTTAATCCCTCTTTCCTGAAACACTATGTTGGTTACCGCATGTGGGAGTTGTGGTGGCAGTATTGGACCTTCACGCTTGGTGGCTAATCCCCATGTGCGGCTTCATTTGTTTCCCTGTATACATGCGACAAGCTCCATCCATATTGCTAATTCAGGAAGTGTTTTATGTCCTTGATGATTGTTTCAATAGTCCAAGGGGTTCTATAATGAGGAAGTGTTGCTGCAAAGATCATTGTCTGCGAGTCCCCTTCCATATTTACATAGTTTCACCCCTTGGTTTGTGCCCATAGCGCTGCTTCTCTAATTGCTAGAGCTTTTGCAATTAATGGATTGTCATCCTTAAATGATTTTACCATTGCATCCACCACTAGTCCTTGTTCATTCCTTGCTATAGCTGATATGCACGCCTCCTCTTTCCCAATAGCTGCATCCATGTTGATTTTAATTGATCCTTGTTGTGGTTTTAACCATCCACATTGAGCATGTACCCTTACTAATTTCTTCATGGAACCAGCCCCTTCTTGACTTGTACCTTGCAAGTGTTCATTAAAGGCCTTGGATACATCTTGAAGGATTGCGATTGGGTCAGCCTTGACTCCTTTATAACATATCTTATTCCTCCAACTCCAAATTGTTGTCATTAAGGTTGCTACAAAGAGGAGTAACTGGCAATAATGGGGACTGCTTGGGCCAAAGACAAGAGTTGGGTTGAGAATATTGTGCATTCAATCTTTCATTTCAAACTGAGAGAAGGCTTCAGTTCTGAATCTCCATTTATGATACCAAATTTGTTGGCTTATATCGCATGTGAAGAAGAGGTGGGTTTCTGACTCAAGAACCTATTTGTATAGGGAGCACAGTGGATCTGGTATTGGGAATCTAGCAGCCAAAGTGGATTTAGTAGGAAGACTTTCAGTTGTTGCTCTCCAAATCATCATTTTGAGCCTTGAATGAATATGGAATTTCCATAACTTCATCCAGTCTGAGGTGCTTAGATAACAACTGTTTTCTTCATGTGCAACCCTTTGCAAGGAGTAGGCAGATTTAGTAGAAAATTCACCTGATGACACATGGATCCAAGTCATATGATCCTCTCCAGGATATAATGGCAGCTTAATATTAAGGATTGCTTGAACAATCCTGGGGTAGAACATGTTTTGTAATAGTTCAACATTCTAAGTGTTATTTCCTGGATTGATGAGTTCATCAACAGTATTTGGCAAAGGATGGATTGTGGATGGTTAGGGATCCAAGGGTCTGTCCATATATTAATTTTGTGGCCCTTCTCAACAATGTAGCATGCTCCTTTCTCAATGGTTGTTCTGCAATGTAATATCTGTTTTCAGATGGTTGAGTCAGTTGGCTATTTCTCAACATAAAAAAATGAGTGTCTTAAGCAATACTTTCTCTCTAACTGGGAGGTCCACAACTTGTGCTTTTGTGAGATCATCTGCCAGCCCAATTTAGCCATAAGAGCTACATTTGTGTCTTGCATTTTCCTGAATCCCAAGCCTCCAAGTGCTTTTGGTCTGCATAAGTAATCCCATGACTTGATGCACAACGACTTTTTGTCTTTTGTTTGCCCCCACCAAAAGGTTCTGATCATCTTATCCATGGACTCCTAAGTAAACTTTGGGAGAAGGAATGATTGCATGGCATAGGTTGGAAGTGTCATAGCAGTTGACTTGATCAAGGTGGCTCTTCCAGCATAAGGTAGTAGCATTGCTTTCCAGCCTTGGAGTTTTTTGTCAAGTTTTTCAATGATTGGCTAGAAGGCTAGTTTCCTAGACCTTCCCATTTTCAGTGGAAAGTCCAAATACTTGACTCTAGTATTGCCCTTCTTCAGCTGCAGAATGGTCTTGATTGCTCTGATGGATTGTCTAGTTGCATTGGGGCTATAAAAAATTGTGGATTTGTTCTTGTTGATTAGCTGTCCTGACCAATTTTCAAAAATTAAAAGACACTTTGAGATGGATTCAGCTTCCTTCCTGTCTGCTCTACCAAAAATTAAGAGATCATCAGCAAACATTAAGTGTGTGAGTGGTTTACAGTTTCGGGCAATTTTGATGCCTCTAAGATGCCCTGTGATGGACTCCCTGACCAGCAACCTTGAAAGTACTTCAGTGCATATAATAAAAAGGAAAGTGGATATGGGATCTCCTTGCCTTAGACCCCTCTGGCTCCTAAAATTCCCAATGGGACCACCATTAACCATCACTAAAAAAATTGGGGTAGAAATGCATTTTTCAATTAGTTGTATGAATTGCATTGGAAAACCAGCTAAATGCAAAATCTTGAACAAGAATGGCCATTCAATTCTGTCAAAAGCTTTAGTCAAGTCACTTTTCAGAATCATTAGTGCCCTTTTCCCTTTTTTCTTTTTTAATTGGTGTGTTATTTCTTGGGCAAGGACAAGATTTTCAGAAATGGTTCTTCCAGGTACGAAGGTTGTTTGGGTTGGTGTAATGAACTGATCAAGGTATGGTCTAATTCTGTTTGCAAAGATTTTGGATATAACTTTGTAAGGGGAATTGCATAGACTGATTGGCCTAAAATGATGGGTAGTACTAGGGTTGGGAGACTTTGGGATAAGGCAAATGTTAGTTTTATTCAGCTCCCTTAGCATATGCCCCCCCCCCCACAAAGAAACTTCTAACTAAATCAATGAGATCATTTCCAATCACATGCCAATAGGTCTTGTAAAAGACGACAAACATACCATCAGGTCTTGGGCTTTTGAGTGAAGGCATGGCAAACAAAGTGGCTTTAATTTCCTCTGGGGTAGGAATTGAACAAATATGGGGGTGATCATCGAGTCCAACTATGGGTGTGATTAGTTGCTCTAGGTCATCTGGGAATTGAGGATTAACAGAAATAAATAGATCTTGAAAATGTACTGAAAAAATATTACCAATGTCTTCCCTTTCTGTGATCCAATTGCCTTCTTGTGTCTTAAGGCAGTCAATGGAGTTCCTTCGCCCTCTAATAACTGTGGAATTATGGAAGAACTTTGTACAGGCACCACCCTCTTTGAGCCACTAGATTCTTGATCTTTGCCTCCACAAGTCTTCTTCTCTCTTCAATTGTTCGACTAGCTCAGCTATAAGGATTCTTTCTTCCAGCAAATTATCTGGAGTTGGGTCAAGATGCTACAGGGTATTTATTTGGGCTTTGAGTTCCTTGGCTCTCTGAATGCAGTTCCCAATTTTTTCTCTGTTCCATTTCTTTAAACATTCTTTGGTTGCTTGCATTTTCCTATAGAATCTGAATGATAAGAATTCTCTCTTCTCTGTTCTCCAAGAATTCTGCTCTACAAGGTGACTGGTTGGGTCTTTTGTCCAAATAAACTCAAATTTGAATGGCTTAGGGAAGATGTTTCTGTCTCCTTGCATGTTCAGTAATAAGGGATTATGGTCTGATTCTATTGTTGGGAGATGCTTAATAGTGGCCCTTGGGAAGAGTAGTCTCCAGTCCGCATTGACCAAACCTCTATCAAGTCTTTCTTTGATGTTAGCCAAGCCTTCTCTCTTATTTGACCATGTAAAATGGTCGTCTTCTTATCCTAGGTCAATTAACCCCTGAGCATTCATGAATTCGCGAAATCCACCATTGGATGGGGTTGCAAAAGGCCTCCCACCCCTCTTTTCCCTTTAGGATGTTACATTCTTAAAGTCTCCAATATACAAGTATGGACCTTGGAACTTTTCATTAATCTCTGAAATAGTGTCCCATAATTTGCTCTGTAGCATTCTATTAGCAGGGGCATAAACACAATTCAAAAGCCATCCTTTATCAGTGCGCTCACATGGCAACTGAGCTGAGATTATAAATGGAGTGGACAACACAATTTGCACATCAAAATACTTTCTCCAGTACAAGCATAATCCTCCTGCCAGTCCCTTTGAGGCTTGTATTTCATAGTTAAAATATCCCAAACTTCTTATAATTCTACCTGCCTTGACTTCATCTATTTTTGTTTTCGAGAGAAAAATAAAATATGGGTTCAGTTCCCTTATTTGCTCCCTTAGATGACGAACTATCGGGGTGTGAGCTAAACCACGACAGTTCCAAACATAGCCAATCATGACTGGGTTGTGGGCGTGGTAAGGCCCGCCTCCTCAGCCATTGATATCTCCTCTGAGACTTCAAACTTAAGTTCCTGAAGGTCTTTTGTTGGGCATTCAACAACGCCTCTGACTGTTTTCCTTGTTGTGAATCGCCGATAAGTCCTTTGGTAGGGAAATGCAAGCACATGCCATTTTTTGGGTCGATGCTAGTGTCAGCATGTGGGGAGGTGTTTCTCTCATGCTCTCGATGACTCACAGGTCCTAATTGAGGGAGGATAATGAGTGATCCATTTTCTTGCCTACGCATTTTTGAGTGTCTTCTCACTTCTGGATCTTCGAAACAACTGCGTTTCAAGGACAACCTATTTACAATTGAAACAAGTAACTCATCAATGACGTTCAAAAAGTTTGGGGGGATAGAGATGTGCTCTGTGTTCTAATTGTGAAGAGGTGGGGAAGTGATTAGAGACAAAGAGTTTTCAGATTTATGTGGAGCATCCGTGGTTGAAAACGAAGGTTGTAAAACTTGGGTTAAGGTGTAGGTAATCCCTGCTGATGGATGGAAGTTTTTGCCTCTGATCTGTGTATGGGAAAGATAAGGAGCCCATGCTATGATCTGAGTTGGTTCATGAGCGAGGGCTTTAGATGAAGGTATGGGCTGTGTTGTTATCTGGGCTATTGGATTTGCTGGGTTTATGTACTGATCTGGGAAACAAGCAACACTTGGGTCAGAGAGAGAAAATGTGTCATCTCTTCTTGGGCTTGATGGGATGGTATGATGGGCTAGCATACAGTCTATACTCGGGTCAGGGATTAGGTTCATTTGTATTCTTGTTGGGTGGGATGAAGTAGGGTTTTGTGGGGTGGTTTGTACCACAATGGTTGAAAGCATTTCCCCCGAGTTAGTTGCGTTCGAATCCATTCTTGCTGTGCCACGTGGAGCATTTGTAGAGTCTGTTGGTGACAGGGGTGTGAGCATGATGCACGATCTAGAATCAGGTAGTGTATCTGAGAATTTGATGGGTCCACTTGCTTGAATTGAATGGATTTCACGCTCCTCCTCCTCCATCTGGAGTGTTGGGAGTGATGAGTTTTCCGGTTGCTTCAGTACCTAAGATGATTTCCATGGGATTGTGCGCAGATGAGGGCCGTATTTGATATTATTCCCCTTGCTTGGTGTATTTGTGCAATTATTCTGTTCATGTCAAATTATCCCACACATATAGCAAAAATTTCCAAGCCTCTCATATTTCGGAGTGATGAGCTTGTCTGGACGATCATTCCTTGGCAACTAGAAGTGGGTTTGGAGTGGTTTTGTTAAATCAATTTCAACTCTGGTTCGAATGTAGTTTTTCCATCTGATTTTTTGATGGAGCAGCTGCTCTGCAAGAACTGGTGAGCCCAAAGTCTCAGCAATCCTTAGGGCATTCTCTTTGGTTATCATTTCAGGAGGCACTCCATGAGCCTGAACCCAAAATGGGGAAGAGTTGAGATTAATTTCATTGACTGTGATTCCTGGGATCCATTGCTTCAAAACCATGAGTTGCTCTTTTACTGACCATGGTGCTTGATTGAGGATTCTGAGCTAGTGTTCTTCATCTTGAAAAAGAAATATGAAGGTGTCGTTCTCCCCTTCATTAATTGGATTTTTTTTGTGGAGTTCCATGCCCTTTCCAGGACATTCTTGATTGTATTCTTGTTTGTTTTTTTGCTGGAGTAGAGTTTACCCACCAGGCAAGAATGATTGAGAGTAGCAGAAATGTTGGAATCTGGGAGGAGTTTTATTCGAAGTGGCTCACTGGTTGGGGGCTTTCCCTTTGAGTTGTCCATGGTGTTGATATTGGTATTTGAGAACAACAGAGGAATTTTTATGGGGAAGAAGATTGTAGTTATAGGTGGGCGATGGCTAGATAGGCAGCTATGGGATGTGAGATGAAGACTTATGGGCAGTTGCAGAAGACAATGAAATTGATGGGAGATGAGTAAATCAACTGAATTATCTACTAATGTTAGACTGACCAAATTTTAGGACCAAATATCCATCCCAAATGACATTGTAGTTGACTTGGACTTTTTATTTGGTATCATGTCATTTGGGCCCCAATAAAAACTTCAAATAAGATGTTGTCATGTCATTTGGGATGGATATTTAGTCAATAAATTTGGTTAGTGCAACATTACTCATTCAAGAATGTAATACATAATCTTAAAGAATATTTTATTAACTCATCCCTAAATATAATAAAATAGTATGTTTGGACCGTTCTGATGCAGTACTTTACGTTGTCTTTTTTACTTGTTACTTCTAGACACGCATTTCCAACAATCCAGATGTGGATAAGTTATTTACTAAATTTTAAATCCAATTTTGACAAAGTTAGATGTTGATTAACAAAATTTTCATGAAATATCTGTGTTAATGCCCTAGAAGTCTACTTTCTAATACCGCAAAGACTGGATAAACCAAAAATCTATGTAAAAAGTTATAATCAATATACCGAAGTAGTATCAAAATATTTAATTCCCAAGTTCTAACTAATGCATGTTTATGTCTCAAAATATCTCTCAACTTCTTTTCTTCATCAAATCATAACCTATTCTAGTCTGATCCTTTCGTTTAATATTTGCTCAACTTAAATCACTTTGTTATCATCATAAATCATCCAAATTATCATCAAAAGTAGTTAATCACAACTCTCTCAAATTTGTTTCAGAATTGAAGAAAATCTCAATGTTGTACTCTTACTTATTTGGCAAGTAATGACTAATCCAAAAAAATATTTCAACAAATATAAACATTCATTATTAATTTAACTGCAACCAAATATTAATTGCTATTGGTTAGGACTAGAATCTATTTGGTTAATTCAATAATAACTTGTTCAATGCTATTGTATTCTCACATTTGTCATTTGCTTTTATTGTATCTTTATTAAATGGTCTAATTATATGTATTTCTTAATCACTATTTCTTCAACTCAATCACTAATTATTTGTCAAACTCCCAATGCAATTTAGATATAACAAAAAACCAATTTACTGAATTTTCATTAAATATACTTTTGAAACCTTAGAAATCTACTTTCTAATCCTGCAAAGATTAAGTAAATTGGACATCAAAGTAAAAAGTTATGATCAAAATAACGTAGTGCCAAATTTTTTCATTCCCGAGTTCTCATGAATGCGTGTTTATGCTTCAAAATACCTCTTAACTTCTTCTCTTCATCAAATCATCCCTTTATTTAACTAAATTATTTATTCATGAGGCAAATAGCTAGAATAAGCATAGTTTTAAAAACTAGACTAGATATCAATCCGAAAAAGAGACCGGATCAATGGGTCACTGGTTCAACCGTTGGGTTACTGGTCGGACCAGTAATATATTAAAAAAATAAGAAATAATTATTAATAATAATAAATAGGCTAAAAAATCATAATAACTATGAAAATAGCATGCTTAATGAATATTAAATCAAACAAAAATTCCAAAATCATCAAACATGTTTTCAATGCATTCAATTTCAAATATAACTTGTAAAGTTAATACCTCTATGAAAGAGTAAGACCATCATAATCTACTCAATTAATCAATTTGCCCAATGTGCTCAAGCTTAATCCATAGCCATTAGCAATATAATATTTTTTTTTTCTAATTTGCTCAATTGATCAAACAATTTTCTCTTGATTAATTACGTAATTTTTAAAATGGATAATGTGATTAATGTTGAAATAGGAGAGAGATCAATTTATAGCATTACCCTTCAACCTCAATCTTAAAGAATTGAACACTATCTATGAAATACAGTGTGTATATTACTATATTATGTTACACTCTATATACGCATAGCCACATATAGGATATAAATTGAAGAACAAGAATTGAGGCTATTTGTGGTTCAACACACAGCACATATGGTAAATTAAGGAAAAGAAGATTATTGTGAACTATTGTAAACAAAAATAACAAGTTTAGGCAATAAAATTTGACATAATTGAAATCAATTTGCAGATTTCATGTAAATGGATGAAAATTAAAAGAAATTCAACTTTGAAACCCCAGCAGTCAAAAATAACAACCTCAAATTCCAGAAAACAAATGTTAAAACCCAAATGAGATTCCCTCTAATTTATTTTTTTTGAAAAAAAAAAGGCNAAGTTATGATCAAAATAACGTAGTGCCAAATTTTTTCATTCCCGAGTTCTCATGAATGCGTGTTTATGCTTCAAAATACCTCTTAACTTCTTCTCTTCATCAAATCATCCCTTTATTTAACTAAATTATTTATTCATGAGGCAAATAGCTAGAATAAGCATAGTTTTAAAAACTAGACTAGATATCAATCCGAAAAAGAGACCGGATCAATGGGTCACTGGTTCAACCGTTGGGTTACTGGTCGGACCAGTAATATATTAAAAAAATAAGAAATAATTATTAATAATAATAAATAGGCTAAAAAATCATAATAACGATGAAAATAGCATGCTTAATGAATATTAAATCAAACAAAAATTCCAAAATCATCAAACATGTTTTCAATGCATTCAATTTCAAATATAACTTGTAAAGTTAATACCTCTATGAAAGAGTAAGACCATCATAATCTACTCAATTAATCAATTTGCCCAATGTGCTCAAGCTTAATCCATAGCCATTAGCAATATAATATTTTTTTTTTCTAATTTGCTCAATTGATCAAACAATTTTCTCTTGATTAATTACGTAATTTTTAAAATGGATAATGTGATTAATGTTGAAATAGGAGAGAGATCAATTTATAGCATTACCCTTCAACCTCAATCTTAAAGAATTGAACACTATCTATGAAATACAGTGTGTATATTACTATATTATGTTACACTCTATATACGCATAGCCACATATAGGATATAAATTGAAGAACAAGAATTGAGGCTATTTGTGGTTCAACACACAGCACATATGGTAAATTAAGGAAAAGAAGATTATTGTGAACTATTGTAAACAAAAATAACAAGTTTAGGCAATAAAATTTGACATAATTGAAATCAATTTGCAGATTTCATGTAAATGGATGAAAATTAAAAGAAATTCAACTTTGAAACCCCAGCAGTCAAAAATAACAACCTCAAATTCCAGAAAACAAATGTTAAAACCCAAATGAGATTCCCTCTAATTTATTTTTTTTGAAAAAAAAAAGGCTAAAAAGTCACAATATTTATAAAAATAGCATCAAACATTTAAAGTAAACAAAAATTCTCAAACATATATCCAATGCATTCAATTTATAATACAACTCCAATGGCTGCTATAGCAGCAAGAAAGCTTGTAAAAAATCACATGAAATCCAACAAATCAAGCAAAGATGTCACCAAGGTACCACCCTCTTAAAGAGGGTATATTCATGTCATTCAATATATAAATACAAATCAAAAATGAGTGGCTTCATCACCATTTACAAAAGACAAATCTTCCCTATTGTGTGCTCAATGTATAAATTATAAATACAAATCTTCAATCATTCATTCAATGTATAAAATACAAATCATCAAAATCAATGTATATAAAATCAGTGGCCTCATTCAACCATTCAATGTATAAAATAGAAACCTAAAATTAGATTGTATACAAACCAAATATCAAATCAAAAATTAGATATTGTAGAATGTAGAGTGAAAAAATAGATAAATAGACAGTACTAGAGATATGAGAGAGAGAAGAGAACAACGAAGTATACCTTCTGCTGAACGAGAGAGAGGGAGAGAGTATACCTGCGGCTAATCTGCTGGGTATTGGTGGAGGACTCTAGTCGATAAGGCCATAATTATAGGATTTATACTAAATAAATTAAACCGTCTGGTTTGGCTCAACTCGTCCGATTTGAACGATTTAACAATTTTATAACCGATTCAGTGGGTTGACTCTGGGTTCTATGCATAAACAATCCAAGTGGTGAACTGGCCCAGTTCAGGATCCGGTTCACCAGTTTAACGGGTCAACCTGTCGGGTCGGACCGGATTTTAAAACACTGAGAATAAGTATCAAGTTAAAAAATTCAAGAATATAACACATAATCTTAAATAATATTTAATTAACTCATCCTTAAATATAATAAAATAGCACTTTTTAACCGTTAGAACACAGTACTTTACATTGTCTATTATTTGGACATCGATAAATTTTTGTCCAAATTTTAAATGCAATTTTGATAAAGTTAGAGGTTGATTAACAAAATTTTCATGAAATACCTTTTGAAGCCCTTGAAGTCTACTTTCCAATACCGCAAAGATTGGGTAAAACAAAAATCTATGTAAAAAGTTATGATCAAAATACCAAAATAGTGTCAAAATCTTTCATTCCCAAGTTCTCACTAACGCATGAGCTTTGGAATGTCTCTCAACTTTTTTTCTTCATCAAATCATCACCTAGTCTGACCGTATTTTTTTCTCCCTTATTTGCTTAACTTGGATCACTTTGTTGTCATCATAAATTATCCAAGTTATCATCAAAAGTAGTTAATCACAATTCTTTCAATTCGTTTGATAATTGAAAATATCTCAATGTTGTACTCTTATTTATTTGGCAAGGAATAACTTGTCCAAAAAAAAAGTTTCAACAAATATTAGCACCCTCTTTTAATCTAACAGTTGTGAGTGATTGAGGCAATTAAATTAAGTTCAAGTAACATTATTTATCCTTAGCATAGCTCTATCTACTCACATCTCAATTTTGTAATAGTGTACTATTTCATGGAGGACAAACTTATTTTTCTTTATGGTCTGATGCATATCATCTCTTCACAGTCAGATTTTGGGATTGTTCTGTCCTGTTGCAAGGTGTAGCACCACAATGG